AGTACTGACACATCACCCACTTTTCTATTTCTTATCCCACTGTCTTTAAGCATTTGTTTTATGCATGGCATGCCTGATGTTTTTGCTTTGGTATCAGTTTGACAATCTTGGCTTCTCAATGGAATTTTTGCTACACTGGTACATAATGTCAATATACAGGAGTTGCTTTAAACCTAATATATTAACTAACTTGCTATCTCATTTTGTCATTGTCTTGCACTAATTAAGCATATATTTTATTGTATTATTTTAGTATTTTATTTAAACACTCTTGCTTAATCTTGTAGGAAGTGCTCTAAATTATATTACACCTCATTAACTTATGAATGTTTCACATTAGACTTTTACCAATTTCTGGACCTCTTTTTATGTTAACTCCATTTGTTCCCCGTCTCCTTCATGTCTTGCCTGTTTCACATATTTATTTATTTATTATGTATTTTAAGCTCCACAAGGTACCACTCTTTTAAAAAGATACCCTTACTTTAGTCACCCACACATTTGCTTCCTCTGTGGCTCTTTTTTTTCTTCTAATATTTGCTGGTTCTCATCTGGGACCACATCCTTTGTGTTTGGAGCTACCAGCTATTATGAGTCTGTTGCCAATGGAAAAATATTTTGAAAATGTGTTCATTTAGCTTTTGTAGGCTGTTTTCAGGGTAAAGATATTGAAGTGGGCTCTGTGGAGCACTTTGGAGATTTCCTATTGTGCTCTGGCTTCCATTATTTCTGCTGAAGAGTAAATTAGTCATGTTCTTGGTCATTTGAAGGTTATGTGTCTCATGTCTTGCTGCTTTATTCATTCTTCTGTTTGCATTTTGTTTTCAGCATTTTAACTTTGGTGCTCTTAGATATAATTTCATTTTTAAAATTTTAGTTATTATTATTGGTATTGTGTGTATATGTATATGTGTGTGATGTTGGTGTGTGAGAGAGATGTGTGTGTGTGTGTGTCCTGTGATCCCTCAGTGTGTATGTGTGAGATGTGATTGTGTGTGTGTCTGTGATGTCTGTGAATGTGGGTGTAGCATGGGTATAAAGGTCAGAAGACAACTTTCAGGGCTCAGGGCTCAGTTTCCACCTTGGGTTTCTGGAATTAGACTCAGTAATTTTATATACTGAACCATCCATCTAATACCCTAGACACAATGTTAATTGTATTTGGTCTGTAGTTTATAGTGCATCTTTTCTGTGGCTTGATGTCTTTTAATTGATTTAATGACAGTATTAAATATGATTGTTGTAGTTGAGTATGCTGGCTGGTTTTATGTTGCTTAGACACATGCTAAAGTCATTGGGAAGAGGGAACCTCAATTGAGAAAATGCTCCCACCGGATTAGTTGTAGGTAAGCTTGTGGTGTGTTTTCTTGATTAGTGACTGGGTACTGGAGGTCCTATCTCACTGCGAACAGTGTCAGCACTGGGTGGGTAGTCCTGGGTTGTATGAGAAAGCAGGTGGAGCAGAAAAGCCTATAAGCAGCATTCTTCCATATTCAGTGCAACAGTTTCTGCCTTCAGGTTCCTGCCTTGAGTTCCTGCCCTGACTTCCTTGTATAGCGGGCTACAAGCTAAAGATAAAATAAGTCCTTCCCTTTCCAAGTTGAGTTTGGTCATGGTGTTTTATGACACCAATAGAAACTCTAAAGAATATATTGAGTTTTCATGTCTATGACAAAACTACCTGGGGTAAAAAGTTTTTCCATCTCTTGGTAAACAGGAAGCATAGAGCATAGTTCAGAAAGACTCTTCCTGTAGATTCACTGTTACATTAACATGTCTCTACTATTCTCAACAGCTGAGTCTATCTTCTGTCATCTATTTGTCTATTTGTATGTCTGTCTACTAATTACCTATCATCTTTTGTTGTTGCTTTGTGGGACCAGAGAAAGTTGTGCTGATATTTAGCTGGTCTATCATATTTGTACATTGAAGTGAAAAGTTCATATTCATGAGTGTATGTGATGTTTGTATTTGTGTGCACATATACAAGTAGAGGTCAAAAGTTAGTATTAGGTATCTTCCTTAGTTACTCTCCACTTTTATTATTTTATTTATTTAGAGATGGGTTCTATTCTGAACCTGGGGCTTATCAAATTATCTAGGTTGGCTGACCATTGAGCTACAGGGATCTACTATCTCCCCCAACTCCAGCACTGTGGTTAAGAACTCATGCTACCCCAGCTGGTTTTTACCTGGTTGGTAGGATCTGAACTCAAGTCTGTATGCTTTGCATGGTAAACCATTTACCAACTGAGCTACCTCTCCATTATGTTTATATTCTTGATGGCTGTTATATGTGTCCTGTAGAAGTGTGTGAAAAAGATATTGTCCAGTGCAATTGGCATGAATCCAAGTATCCTGAGAGTAGAAAGGAAGCTTTGTGTGAACCCTGCGGGGTTTTGTTTGTTTGTTTTTTGGTTGATGAATATGATGTGAGTAGCTTGAGGTGAGAAGAAAGTAAGCTATGCTGGAGGAGAAAACATATTCCTCTCTTTAAGGTAAAGTTGACAATAGTAGAAGATTATAATAGTGGCCCATTTCATTAAAGGATTTGTTCAAGAAAAGACCTATGTTGTAAAAAACAATGAATAGTACATTTTAGAATATTGATTTCCCCTATAGACAAAGGGCATTTCATAGCACTTCTATAGATGTAAACAGAAATAAATATACAGACATATAAATAAAAAAATTGAAATACTGGTTTAAACACATTTGCTTACCACTAGGCTTTCATGAACGTTTAAGGTTTGGTTTGTGAGCTTCCAAATTTTCCTGAACTTGGTGAGCTTTTACACGTGTTGTTTGAAGAATATATCTTTGGAAACTTGGGTATGTGGGCACTGAGGGAACAACAGTGGGATTACTACATGAGCATTGAAAGTTCACTGATGCTTGTGCCCTTTGGATATTGTTCATATCTAGTACTTGAGCTGAAAAGGATGCCTAGAAAAAGTGTGCTGCAGCATATATCAGCTGAGAGAATTTGTATTTTAGTGGACAAAGAAGAGTTCAGACCAGAGTGAAACAGTCAGTCATTTTTCTTTTCTAGAAAGATTGGTTTCATAATGTAGTACATGATGAGCTGCAAGGAAAGGTCCCAAGAAGCTGAAATCTCAGAAGAGAAGCTGGTAACTTTGTCCATAGCTGTAATTTGTTCTCAGACTCTGGTGACATCATTGCCAATTGAAAATAAAAAGGACAACAGTGGTTCTTTTGACAGGAATCAACATATCTAGATGCCCATCAATAGATGAATGGATAATGAGAATTATGTTAAAATATATAATGATTATATCTATTAGATTATTCTTCAGCCTTAAAGAAAGATGAAATCACAAATTTACAGGAAATGGAAGAACATGATATATAATATTAGGCAAGTTCACCCTATCACCCAAAGAAAAATAACTTGCATATTCTCCCTCATTCATGGATCAGCCTATAATGTATGCTTGTATAAATGTAAACAAACTATGTGTGGCTACAATGAGGCACTTAAAAGAGAAGAACTAGAAAGGGTTGTACTAGGTGACGAGGAAGAAGGGGATGCCTATAAAGGACACATGACCTAAGGAAGAGGTTATAGAGCTAATTGTTTTTCTAGTTTCAATTCTAACATGGTTTTCATGGTGAATAAATGCATAAAAATGTAATTTATACTGAAGGAGTGGAACTGTAAGTGAAGATCCTGGTCCTCAGCAAGGACCTTCTAACTGTAGATAAGATCTAACTGTAGCTTCAGGATACTTTTATTTGTGACAAATACAAGCTATGATGGTTGAGATGAAAGAGCAGGTTGTTGTCAGGATGGCTTCTGGGTTTGGATGACTCTGAGGATGGGGGAGATGCTCTAAAAGTGGGGATTCCTCCATAGGAGTTCATCTGCTTTCTTACAATGGACTAATGATTTGATGGAGTCATGAGAGAAGTTACTAATTTCAGAAAGACTTAGCTTGTGTTTGGAAACCATTTGTATAGGAGGGGTTTACTTGTTTCCAAATAGGAAGACAAAACAAAACTGAACTACTGGTAAAGGGCATTTGAATGAATGATGCAGAAAAAAGCTGTTAAAAAAACCACACTGACAGTAAATGGATTATGTAAAAATTTTGGCAGCTCATGGAGCATCTTTTCCTCTAGCTCAAACTTCACATCCTCTTAGACCAAGTAAGCTAATTAAATCATTTGAAACAAAATTGAGTAACTATTTTGAGCAGCTGCTTTTCCAACAGAAGGCAGAGGATTCTAAGACTGTCAATAAGTAAGACTTGCATTTGAGCAGTGAATAGGGGTGTGGCACTGGAAGCATAGTTTCTGTCCAGACTAGACATGCCTAGGAAAAAAAATTCAAGCAAGCCCAGACTTTCACCCCACCCCACGTCAATCAAACCTAAGGCGGTTGCCTTTGCCCTTGGAAGAGGTAGTGGGATGGAAGTGTCATGGATGGCGGATTCACAGGCTCGGACTTGAAGACTCCGAGGAGTAAATTTCTTTCTATCTCTCATTCTACTCCTTCATAAAACACGGGAATAGTAACTATTGTGTAGGATATAGGATTAAATAAGATGTGGAAGTACACTCCCACTGGCACTGTACATGTATGTGTGCATCAAAAAGGGATGTGTAAGTGCACCCATGAAGGGATATCGCCTTTAATCTCAGAAATGCAATGTCTTCCCATTTTCCAGATCTGCTTCCATGTGACAACTGCATGGCATGGGAATTTTCCACTGAGAGATGGGATTATGCATGATGATTAAATTGATATCATAATAACTACCAGAAAAATATTCGAGATATTTTGTAAGGGTTTGACACATAATATATGGTAATTCTATAGGTGCAGTTTTTGATGAGACCAGGGAACACATATGTCTCTGCAAAAAATAAAGTAAAATATGAGCATGTAGATCATAATGTCAAAACCCAGAAAGAAGCGAATCATTCATGCTTTTCATTAGTTGTAATGACCATTTATTTTCTGTTATTCCATAAAGTGAGAAAAAGCTCATCACAGATGCCCTCAATAAGAACCAGTTTCTGAAGAGGTTGGACCCACAGCAGATCAAAGACATGGTGGAATGCATGTATGGGAGAAACTATCCACAGGGAAGTTACATCATTAAGCAAGGAGAACCAGGCAACCATATCTTTGTGCTGGCAGGTGAGTTTCACACATTTTTTGAGTTCTCTTATGAAATGATTTTGCCTATTTTGGCTTTTTTAAAAATTTAATTAATATATTTATTTTACATGCTGACAGCAGTTTCCACTCCCTCCTCGACTCCCATTCTCTCTGCTGCTGCCCTCTCACCTCCCACCCCTCAATCCACTCCTCCCCGTTTTTGTTCAGAAAGGGGCAGGCCTCCCATGGGTATTAACAAAGCATGGCATATCAAGTTGAGGAAGGACTACGCACCTCCCCTTGTATTAAGGCTGGGCAAGTCTTTCTGGGTCTGGGTTATCTCACTCAGGATGATCTTTTTTATGTTTTCATTCATTTGCTTTCAAATTTTCTGATGTCATTATGTTTGACAGCTGAGCAATATTTCATTGTGTAACTGTAGCATATTTTCTTTATCCATTCTTCAGTTGAGGGGCATCTGGGTTGCTTCCAGGTTCTGGATATTACAAATAAAGCTGCTATGAACATAGTTGAGCAAATGTCCTTGTGGTATGATTGAGCATCCTTTAGCTATATGCTCAAGAGTGATATCACAGGGTCTTGAGATAGACTGATTTTCAATTTTCTGAGAAATTACCATATTGATTTTCAAAGTGGCTGTACAAGTTTTCAGTCCCACCAGCAGTGGAGGAGTGTTCCCTTTGCTCCACATCCTCTCCAGTATAAGCTGTCATTGGTGTTTTTAATCTTAGCCATTCTGAAAGGTGTAAGATGGAATCTCAGGGTACATTTGATTTGCATTTCCCTGATGGCTAAGAATGGTGAACATTTATTTATGTGTTTCTTTCCCATTTGAGATTCTTCAGTTGAGCATTCTCTTTTTAGGTCTGCACCCCATTTTTTAATTGGATATTTTGGGGGTTTTGCTATCTAATTTCTTGAGTTCTTTATATATCTTGGAGATCAGCCCTCTGTCAGATGTAGGGTTGGTGAAGGTCTTTTCTCATTCTATAGGCTGCTGCATTGTCCTATTGACAGTATCCTTTGCCTTACAGAAGCTTTTCAGTTTCAGGAGGTCCCATTTATTAATTAATCTTAGTGTCTGTCCTAGTGGTGCTCTACTCAGGAAGTGGTCTCCTGTGCCAATGTGTTGAAGGCTATTCCCTACTTTCTCTTCCAACAGGTTCAGTATAACTGTATTTATGTTGAGGTCTTTTATCCATTTGGACTTGAGTTTTGTTCAGGGTGACAGATATGGATCTGTTTGCATTCTTCTTTTTTCCCATTTTTTAAAAAAAATTTAAATTAGAAACAAACCTGCTTCATATGTCAATCTCAGCTCCTTCTCCCTCCCCTTCTTTCCCCCACACCCTCCCACCCCATCTCCCCTCTGCTCTCCAGGGAGGGTGAGGCCCTCCATGGGGGATCCCCAAAGTCTGTCATATCATCCAGGGCAGGGCCTCGGCCTTCCCCCATGTATCCAGGCTGAGAGAGCATCCCTCCACATAGAATGGGCTTCCAAAGTCCATTTGTACACCAGGGATAAATACTGACCTACTACCAGAAGCCCCAAAGATTGCTGAGGCCTCCTCATTGACATCCACTTTCAGGGGGTCTGGATCAATTCCATGCTGGCCTCCCTGCCATCAGTCTGGGGTCCATGAGCTCCACCTTGTTCAGGTCAATTGTTTCTGTGGGCTTCACCAGCTCTGTCTTGATCCCTATGCTCATCACTCCTCCCTATCTGCAACTGGGTTCCAGGAGTTCAGTTCACTGTTTAGCTGTGGGTGTCTGTCTCTGCTACCAACAGTTACTGGATGAAGGCTCTAGGATGGCATATAAGGTAGTCATCAATCTCATTATAGAGAAAGGGCATTTAAAGTAGCCTCTCCACTATTGCTTAGATTACAGGTTGATGACATCATTGTAGCTCTCTGGAAATTTCCCTAGTTCCAGATCTCTCTTCATACCTATAATGGCTCCCTCAATTATGGTATCTTTCATCCTGTTCTCTGTATTCTTGCCCATACTCAAACTTCCTGCTCCCCCATTTCCTTCTTTCCCCTCCTCTTCTATCCCTCTCTTTCTCCCAGCTCCCTCTCCCCACCACCCATGCTCTCAATCCACTCAGAAGATCCTGTCCCCTACTCCTTCTCCAGGGTACCATGCATGTCTCTCTTAGGGTCCTCACTGTTTCCTAGCCCCTCTTGTGGTGTGGATTGTAGGCTGTCAATCCCCGGCGCCTTGTCTAAAATCCATATATGAGTGAGTATATACCAATTTTTTCTTTTTGTGACTAGGCTACCTCACTCAGGATGGTTTCTTCTAGTGTCATCCATTTGCCTGCAAATTTCAAGATTTCACTGTTTTGTTTTGTTTTCCACTGAGTAGTACTCTATTGTGTAAATGTACCACATTTTCTCTTTCCACTCTTCAGCTGAGGGGCGTCTAGGTTGTTTTCAGGTTCTGGATATTACAAATAATGCTGCTATGAACATAGTTGAACAGATGTCCTTGTTGTATGAATGTGCATCTTTTGGGTATATGCCTAAAAATGGAATTGCTGATCTTGTAGTATTTGCATTCTTCTATATGTTGACATCCAGTTATACCAGTACCATTTGTTGAAATATATGATTTTGGCTTCTTTGTGAAAAATCAAGTGTCCATAGATAGGTGTGTGTATTTATGTCAGGGTATATCATTCAATTTCATTGATCAATATATTTGTTTTTATGTCAATGCCATGTTGTTTTTATTACTATAACTCTTTAGTAGAGCTTGAGATCAGGGATGGTGATACCTCCAGCAGTTCTTTTATTGTACAGGATTATTTTAGCTAGCCTGGGTTTTTTGTTTGTTTGTTTCCTTGTTTGTTTTTCGATATGAAGTTAGGTATTGTTCTTTCAATGTCTGTAAATAATTGTGTTGGGATTTTGATGGGGATTGCATTCAATTGGTAGATTGCTTTTGGTATAATGGCAGTTTTTACTATTTTATATTAACCCAACTGATCCATTAGCATGTGAGATCTTTCCATCTTCTGATATATTCTAAAATTTCTTTCTTCACAGACTTCATATTCTTGTCATACAGGTCTCTTACTTGGTTGGTTAGAGTTACCTCAAGATATCTTATATTGATTGTGGCTATTATAAAGGATGTTGTTTCCCTGATTTCTTTCTTAGTTTCCCTGAATTTGGGGGGTAGGTGGGATTTATCTTGTAGCCAGCCACTTTGCTAAAGGTGTTTATCAGCTGTAGGAGTTGTATTGTAAAATTTTTCAGGTTACTTATGTATACTATCATATCATCTGCAAATAGTAACACTTTGGATTTTTTTCCAATTTGTATCCCCTTGATCTCCTTTTGTTGTTTTATTGCTCTAGCTAGAACTTTGAGTACTTTATTGAATAGATATGGAGAAAGTGGACAGCCTGGTTTTTCTTGTTTTTAGTGGAATCTCTTTGAGTTTCTCTCCACTTAATTTGATGTTGGCTTGCTGTATATTGATTTTATTACATTTAGGTATGTTCCTTGTATCTTTGATTTTTCCAATATGTTTATCATGAAGGGGTGTTGGATTTGCTGAAGGTTTTACAACATCTAATGAGATTATCATGAGTTTGTTTTTCTTTCAATTTGTTTTCATAGTGGATCACATTGAGAGATTTTCGTATGTTGAACCATCCCTGCATCTCTGGCATGCAGCCCACTTGATCATGGTGGATGATCTTTTTGATAATGATACTTGGATTTGGTTTGGCAGTATTTTATTGAGTATTTTGCATCAATGTTCTATTTTGGCATTTTTGCAAACATTATAAACCCCAAACAAAGTTGCTCTGTTTGTATAAAATAATCACACTGACTTCATGCATTGAGGACATTGGTAATGTGATCATGACAGCAGTTGATGTTTATGTAGTATGGTGTATGTATCAATATCCTATTGAGCACTTGACAGAGAGATCTCATTTCATTTCTCACCTATCTAATCAGAACTAGCACAGATCTCTCAATGTTATCAATGCCTCACAGAGGTTAAATCGTGTATCTGAGGTCTCACTACTCACAAGTGGTGAATGTAAAGCACAGACAGGAAACCCAACTCCATGCTTTTAGTCACAATGCTGGTAACTAAAAAGTTTTGTTCCAAGTGTGACTGCTTATGTTGACACTTCTGACATTGGTACAAAGAGAATTTGTTTTTGTGGTTTTTAAAAGCACCTTGATTGTAGACCAGTGATTTCAAAGGATAATTTAGGGTTCTCTCTAACAAACAAATCAAAGGAAATGCCATGTTAATTAAACAGGTGTTTTTAGAGCCAGTTAGTTTCCATCCTCTATAATCATTTAAACAATCATGGTTGGGAGACAGTAGCAGACTTTTCTAGGGATTTTAAAATAGTTGCTAATTTTTAAATATAAAGAAGCAAGAATTACTTGCATAGGGTTTGAAATTATTGAATTTCGTGTAAAATTCTGAATTGCCTCAATGTTTTGGTTTGGAAAGAAAATTACACTTCCTTACCCAGGTGGTGTGGCAGCCTGATAGATACTGTGACCTTCTACATATCAGAGGCTTCCCCATCATGAAGCAATCAAGCAACATTGCTTGATTATATAAGAAAGTTAAAGGACTTGCTTTTTCCTGTTTGTAATAAACCGAAGATTGTTCCTTTGTATTTTGTTCTAGAAGTTAGAAGTCCATAAGTTTTTGTAATTATTTATGTATTATGTGTCATATAATCTTTAAAGGCAACTTAAAAATGAGTCTGTCATTCCCAAGCAATTATACTATTCTTGTAGTGAGGTATAGTCTTAATCTAGACAGCCTTCGATTTTTACAGGGATAGGTGATCCACAATGATCATTTCTTCTTACAATTTTTTTCTTGGCTGCTTCACATCTGTTTTAGCAACTCAAGAGCATTCTGACAGGAGAAGATAAGTCATTAAGTCAACAAATATTTATGGAACCTGCTAAGAGAGGACAAGAATCTCACGCCATCCCATCTTGTTCTTTTCCAGTAATTCTGATGTAAGGCTTGGGAGAAACATTGCTGCAGCCATTGATATCAGGCATCCAACCCACATGGAAGTGAAAATTGGATGACTTCTTATTTCAATTAATTATGGTAGCATCTAAGGACTGAATTGCCGGGCTTAATTATCTGCCTGAGCAAATTAATTTGATAATTAAAATTCTCTCCTTTATAAAATATAGCATGAATATTAAATAGTACAGCATAGTTCGCTTAAACCATTGATATTCCATATGATTCTTCAGTATTACTCAAATCCTATGAGCCATAACCAATTAAGAAAAGAACCTTGACATGCACTAAGATTCAGGATATCAACGAGATAGCACCACTAAGTGGTTTTTGATGCAGTTAGAATTAGCTGTAATAAAAAATTACTAAACTGCATATTTAATCTGTGGAATTTAGAACCAAAAGAAAAGATTTTTTCTTGCTAAAATATAGTTCTATCCTAGTAAACATCTTTGTTTCTCTTGCCTGGCACTTATAATGGCTCCTGGAACAATGTCAATTCTCATATCAGATTTGCTGAATTGAGTGGATGACATAGTGACCCAAGCTGTTTGGGAACAGGAGAAAGAAAGACTGACATTACTTCCCCATTTTTCTTCCTTAAAACAGTTTAGATAATTTTGCTTACAATTTTTTAAGACAAAGTTCTGATGGAAGAGGAAAGAGAAGAGTGTTTCCAGGGCAAAGCAACTGTAGGAAGCTTGTTCAATGCTCTGTTTTCTCTGCTCCAGCTTTGTGTAGCTATAAACATGAGCCAGAATAGGAGGTTCAGCAAGCAGAAGAGGACCATACAGTAACGTATCCAAGGTTACACAGTCAATAACTACACAGTGCAACCCACATGTAGAACTAGGTAGCTTGACTTGATAGCCATGGTATCAAGGCTCTGCTAGGTTTTCCTTCCCCCACTGCAACAGCTGTGCAGTGTTTTCAAGACACAGTGATTATTGGGCTCCTTGTAAGAGGGAAATGGTTACATTTTTTTTGTAGGCAGAATGAATATTGTTAATATTCATATAGCATTTAGCCTGTGCTGTCTAATGTTTTATATTCCCTACCTGAATTGACATTTAATTCTCATGATAAGTGCATGAAATATAGGTGATTCTTCCCATCATCCATGACACGAGTAAATCGCAGGTCTGGTTTCAGGCTGGGTCTTTTAACCACCCCAATAAAATCAGATTCCTAAGTAGCCTAACTGAATCGTTTGTATGATTTCTGGTTTTTTTTTCTCTATGGAAAACAGGTAGATTCTGATGATTTGTGTTTTTCTTAAATTCTGCTTCACAGAGGGTAGACTAGAGGTGTTCCAAGGAGAGAAAATGCTATCACCCATCCCGATGTGGACCACATTTGGGGAACTAGCCATTTTGTACAACTGTACACGGACCGCTTCTGTGAAAGGTAAGATGAGAAAAACTGCTCCCAATCTCTACTGCATCTAAGGTTGGCTCCTTAGCAAAGCTAGTGCCATTTTGCCCCATACACTCTTGTTCATAAGAATGCAATTGCGATACAAAGATTTGTATGTGAGCTTTGACAGGAATAATTAAAATTAAGATGAACTTTCTCTAGGCTGGGATCTGGCACTGGGTTAGCAGTGTCTAAACATCATCAAAAGATGTACATCTGCATCCTTGTGCACACAGCACTTTTAACTTCCAATTACAAATCCTTTAGTGTCTGGATTGGCTCATGACTTGGGGACATTCCCTGTGGATGAGGTGTATAACTGGAAATTGCAAACTATTTGAATATCGTCCTACCCAAAACATAATCCAGGTTCCCTCTTTCAAATCCTGGTAGATTTCAAAGCTGAAGTGATGTTAAAAATTACCCACTCTTCCATTATTTCCTTTCATTCACAGGTTTAAATAATACATTCCCATAAACGTGTAGTCGCTGGCTAACATTTTTGGAGTGTTTTCTTTTTCTAGTGCTAAACACTGTTGTATTATTTTCTCAAATTTTCTAAAGCTATTACCAATGTTAAAACTTGGGCACTGGACAGAGAAGTTTTCCAGAACATTATGAGGAGAACAGCCCAAGCCAGGGATGAGCAGTACAGAAACTTCCTCAGAAGGTAAGAGTAACCATATGGGGGTAGTTCAACCATTGTGTGGACAGAGTAGTGATTTCTCTAACAGTGTCCCCAATCCAAGCAGTTCCTATATTATGAAAGCAAAGAGCAAAACAATTCCCTTGCCGTAAGTGGCAGCAGTTGCCAAAAATTATATTTGCTTCCTATTAGATTATGTGCTGGACTATCTCTTTTGCTATTCCTTTTACTTCTATTGAAGGTGCTATAGCATAAAAATATGCAAAACACCTGAAAAAATTTCCTGATTTTGATCACTGGGCTTCGAATAACATTTGTGATCTTAGAAAGTACAGCAGAAAGGTGATCTTGTAATATTAATTTTAGTTATTATTATTGATTTTTATTTATTTGTGTGTGTGTGTGTGTGTGTGTGTTCATGTGCTTGTGTGCATGTAAGCACACACAGGCTCACAGGTGAGCCACATCACATGTGTAGAAGTCAGAGGACAAATTCTTGGAGTTGCTTCCAGGAGATCAAGCTCAGGTGGCCAGCCCTGGTTCAAGCATTCTTTTCACCCTGAGCCATCTCATGAGGCCCACTGGGACATTAAGATGAATTCATTTTACTATCCTTGCTTTATGGGTGACATTTCTTTTCTCATTTGCATAACCACACTGCCTTCCAAGTAACCATTATTTGTAGCAGCTTAACTTGACAGAAAACGTTACTATACTTGTCATAATGACATGGATACCAGGACAGATCATTTTTGAAAAATGTTCTGTACCTCGACATCATGAGTGAGTACATTTATAGGGAACCAAATGTCTGCATAACTTCAAAAGAGAGCTGGAAGAGATGTTTCTTTTTGAGAATGCCCATTCTTCATGTATACTAGTTTTGTATCATATGTGAGAGTTTTGATAGCCTCTGAATTTGAACACATCATGTGATGAAATGTACTTAGGATAAGTGATAACAATAATTATGTATCCTGTGACTTACAAAAGTAAACTTCAACTTTTTAAGTATACTCTAGTAATCTGACCTTCCATAGCCAACCTGGACATCCAGCTATGTTAGGGCTGTCCATGACTTAGTGTTTAGTAGGGTCTCGGAAGTACTGCAGGAGCACATAGAAAATCAACAGGACACAGTCAACATGCAGGTTCTTATAGAACATCTCTCTGCCACACCCTCCTAGACTCCTATGACTCCTGACAATGAGTCATAATAACAAGTAGTTGTCTTATCTCTAGTAGCATGTATCTTAGCTCTCATGTGGTAGGATCTACCTAAATATAGATGATTTTAAAGTTGTACAGCTGATTGTCACAGGTCAGAATTTGAAGTAAATAAGCCATGCTTATGCAGGAGCTTTTAGAAAAGGGACACATGAATAAACCAGTGGCTACAGGATGTAGCTGATTGTGAATCACTCTGTAGAGCAATAATTTGCACCCAGCTCACTCTCCTCTGCTGGAGTTGAAGGAGCCCAGGCAATCTACTAGGAAATACTCTTTTTCCCCATACTTCTTTTTGTTATTTCATTCATTCATTTGTTCAACAAATATTTACTTCTAGACACCAAACATTGTGGATTCAGTGGTGAACAAGATAAACCTGACCACTCTCCTCACAGAGCAGAGATGAACTAAAATTTCTCCTCATCTGTTTACCCACCAATTCCAAAGGTGGTAGGCTTTCTATTCATAGCTTCCAGTTTGGACCAGAAGGAAAATTTTCATAAGTATATGGAAACTGAGTTCTAGTTGCCTTTGCCTTCTCAACAGGGAGGTACTACTCTAGAGAAATGCAGTTTGCTTTGTGTCATCGTATATAATAAACTCTTCTTATATCTACAGTTTTTAAATACGGCATGTAGCATATGTGTAAATCACAAAACCTTATAGCGTCAACAACCCCATTACTAGGAATACATTAAAAATAAATGAGATCAGCATGTTGGGTGAGACATCTGTGTCTCCATGTTCTTTGCAGCACCATCCAGAATTGCCAGGAAATGGATACAATCTAATTGACCATCAACTCATGAATGGATAAGAAAAATTTGGTACATGTATGATGGAACAACATTTAAACACAGAAAAGGTTAAAACTTGTAATTTGGGGTGACCTGACTCAAAGCGGAAACTATTGTGTTTAGTGAAACAGGGTAGGCGTAGACAGACAAATACTGTGTAATCTCACTCATATGTAGACTCTGAGAAAGTCCATTGCATAAAAGTTGACAGTAGAATGGTACTTCCAAGATGCCTAAGACAGTAAGGAGGAAGGGATGAATAAAGGTTGACCAGTTGGTTCTAAATTAGAGGTGGACAGGAGTAAGAAGTCATGATATTGCACTGTAAGGTGATTATACATAATAACAATGTAATATATATTTTTGAAAGCTTAGAGGAAGAATCATGAATGTTTTACGATAAATTTTCTGAGATATGTGTGTTTAACACATTTAAACATTGCAAAATATATACATGCATAGAAACATCATAAAGTACCAATTTATGTACATATTACAGTTAAAATAAATTTAAACTAACAAATAATAATAGGTATCCATGAAGTTAGGGATGTCCCCAAAATACCTGTGGTCTCTGACATCATCACAACTTCTGTCCCTCCTCCTTTCAGGTGCAGTGATTAATTAGTCCTTTGGTATTCTTTGTAATTTTGCTTATGACTTGACTTACCTCATTTTGAACTTGATAAGAATGGTATTATTTTTGCAGCCCATTAGTTCTTTGCCTGTCACCCTGCATTCAACTGTTCTACAGCTGGGGCTCATTTTGTTATTTTGCAATTCAATGCCCCTGTGCAGTCATTCTTACAGCTGTCTCCCAGACTTGTACTGCAGGCTACCTGTGTGTAGGAATCTGCCTGGAGCTTCCTGCCTTCACAAGATCTAGTCATGCATTTGGGAATGGCATAATTTTTCCTGTAAGGGTGTCAAATGATAGATGGTAAAGAAGAAATATTTCTTTTATAGAAATTATATCAATAATCTCAAAGATGTATAAAATAGAAATTGCTTTAATGAAACAATTTAGTCATATTGATTAGCTAATCACACTGAGAGAAACTTCTGATTTTGTTAAATAATGGGTTTCAGTATTCTATTTCACTCTCAGCAGAAATGTTTCCATGACCTACCTCTAAAACACTGATTTAAAAAGACAGTACAGTAAGATTGATAATCAAAGAGTATGCCACTGGTAGTTTCCATGTCCCCATAGGTTCAATCATTACTTAATTACAAGGATTTAGATGAAAATCTGATCGTTCACTTTGAATAGAGCAACTCACCCAGGCTATAAGAGACATTGAGAAGTGGAGAGAACACTTCCAAATCCAACCGCAATGTGCAGTGGGTGCCCCCTCAAGCAGACAGGATGGGACTGCCCCCTTTCGAGGATCTTGGTACCTCGTTTTTGCACGTGTGACAAACGCCTGGGATAGTATAGTACATATGTACGATTTCCAGTTGTCAAGAAATTCTGTTATTTTTGTGTTCTCAGTCTTTTAAATGCTTACTTTGGAAAAACTGAAGTTCACTGCATTATAATAGTAAGTGAACCTAAGACTTTAGTGTCTGTGTGGAATATGTTTTTTTTTCAAAATATAATTAAGTAAAAGCTGCTTGTGGTGTTGCATGTCTATAATCCCAGGGCTTTGAAGGCTAAGGCAGGAGGCTCATGAGTTTGGGGATAACCTGGCCTACATAGTGAGACTGTGTCTCAAAATAATTTTTAATTAAAATTATTTTATTAATTTAATTATTTAATTAATTTAAGATGTCTTTTTAATTTTGAAGTGTTTCCTTGCTGAAGAACTTACCTGAAGATAAGCTAACGAAGATCATTGACTGTTTGGAAGTGGTAAGAAATTTTGAAGTAAAAAATAAATATCCTTAGAAGATTTTAGAATCTAGTCATATTAGTACTGTAAATAAATGAAGAGGAAAAGATGGTAGGATGCTAAACTGCAGAGACCAAGAGCTGTGTTTGTGCGAGATTTTAGGTCAACTCACACCGAATTAAGGGACCAGACAGGGTTAGATAGCTTTGGAACTTGCAAAAAGAAATTGGATTTGCATGTGTAAAGTGAAATTTGATTTACATATTTTAATCTTTTTAGTACATTTTATACAACTAATCTGCCTTACTCAAGAGGCATTTGATTTTCTCCAATTAACATCACAATCCCTTGCAGAGTTTTCACAATATAAAGGAATCAGTGAGGCATAATTAGGAAACAGGGTACAGAAAGGGTATGCTGGGGCTGTGGGGGAGGTGTCTGGAGCCAGACCATGCAGCCTTCTATATTCAGCCATGGAAACACATTTGAAGAGATTGCACGGGAGCACTTTACCTATTTCAATATCTAGAGGCAAGTGGCAGATTGGAAAGTGTTCAAAAGCTTATTCCTGGCATCCCCAGATGGCTGGTTTTAGTTTAAGACTTGTCAAGCTTTATTGGGGATAATGCTTTTATAACGTACCTTGCTCTCAATGGTCCTCGGTTTATGAAAACCTCTTCAGATCTGGAAATTACAATTCAGAGCAAATAGCCTTTCCCCCTTTCCTGGGGGTCTGTTTCTCTGAAGCCAAAATGACTTTACTGAAGTTAAGAGGAGGTAGGGGTTGGTGACAACATCATAACTGGATGTGGTGCTTTGTATAGAGCTGCTCCCAGGGGGAACAAAGTAAAAGCCCTGATCGTCTGATTGTGGATAGATTCATGTTCTGCCAATCATGACAACCAATGCAAACTCCTGTTTCCTGAGAAGGAAACAGCAGCCATTTTTTCCTAAACCTAAGTGACATGTTTAAATAGTCATAGAACATCCAGTAGTTTATCAAAGACAGGCTATGGGGACACCATGCCTTGCCTCCTGTCCCCTGGGGACTTTGGATATGAAGTCTGCTTCAACAAGCCCGTGTCATGGTCTGTATCCCTTTGGGATTTTCCCAATGTAACATAAGCCAATCACAGATGTTACAAATTAAAAATTCATCCCAATTTCTCAGGGTGTTTCTCTTTTCAGGACAGGGAAGCCCTATATATGCATATTTTGGTCTTGTTAACCAGAGAAATCTGTTCCTAATAGGCTGTTAATAGACGGGATTCATCAGAAGGAAATCACCTGCTGACAGCAAATATGTGGTCTTGATGTTAAAAACAAATGGCCACTTAGACACATTTATAGTGGCCATAGGCAACAGCTGCCCAATACATAGATGATCTCTCGAATTATTAACTGGGTTATTAATTAGCACACAATTCAAGTTTGTAAGCTTCGTCTTTTAAGATTCCCTGGGAGAGCATGACTACATCTCAGCATCTGCAGACAGCGGCACCATCTACAAAGGGCTCTTTATCCTACCTGGCAAACAAACATGTCTCTGTAATGTGTAAAAATTCCCGGATGTGGAAGTGATTAGCAATGGAGTCATGGGATCTGTTTAATTCTAAGAAAAGCTTATAATTTACCCATGCTGACTCCTGACCCATCAATGGGGTCCTCACCACAGTCGGCCCCAGGCCAGTGCAGGGAGGTATGACAGAGCATGTTGTCCCCAGGAGACCCACCATCTTTGAGAAAGCTGAAGGTGTCTGAAATGAAGCTCAGAGGCGGGTAGACGCCTGCTTTCTTTTGTGTATGGGGAGAAGGGTTAATCGTCATCGTGTCTGTCTGTCTGTCAGTCCATCACCACCACTCCCACACACACTCTAGGCAGTGGATCCGGTCAGGTTCCAAAGAAACTCAAGACAAACAGCTAACTATGCTGCCTGTTAAGCATACCAAAGCGCACTGGCCACCACGCTAAGGCTCCTCCCTGCTCTTCTCACCCTGCTCCCTACACTAAACTCTGTAGCCCAGAGGCTGGGCTTCCCTTCCCCCAGCTTCCTGTTGCTGTATAACCCTGGCATTTCAGCAACTGGCTGGCTTGGTGTTCACTCTCTTTCTCTTCTCTCTCTCCTTCTCCTCTGCTCTTGGCTCCTGACCCGCACTCCCCCTTGCCCCTCTATCTTCTCTTCCTGTCACTCCTCATGGGCCTGTCCAGTCTGCTGTTCAGGTTTAGTCTACTTCTTTCTCTCCCTGCTCTGGACTCTACAAATGCCTGACTGTTCTCTCCCGCACATCTACAATAAAACCCTTCTCCTCAGCCTGCACACCATGGAGTAGTCATGCCCTTCTTTTTCAGTCAGATCCTGTGTGTTTAAGGCACAGACTGCTGAATTCCTCTACCGAGAATGTGTCTCTGACAGTTCAGTTTTCCATCCATTTCTTGAACGCAAGTCTCCCAGAGTATTCAGTTTGCAAGGCAGCATCTTCTGGAAGCCTCTGCTCATGCTCTGACCAGAACATGAGTGGTGGTGATAGCACACAGTCACTGCCATGTTTTAGGATTTAGCTAATAATGACAGCCATAGGGCAGGATGCAGGTTTGGAGTGGTGGCAACAATGGATGATAATGAAAATTCTAACGTGGCCCTGGGCAATCATGAAGGGAGAAGACAGGTGACACAAGAGTGTCTGTTTCCACGCAGGCAAGAGTAGAAAGCGTGGAATTTGTGTTCTTGGTTGCAAACACAGAGATTAAGCAGGAAGTTACCTGGTTGGGGCAGAGCTCTGCAACCTGGCCCAGTGTTTCTCAGTACTTCCACCCTGATGTCCATGCTTGCACCTTTCACAGAGCTTCAGTCATGGTGGGGCTGTGAGAGGCACGGTGATGTGAATGTCTTTTTCCTTCTTCAGATCTGGGTACCAATAGAAAGGCAGAGTCCCAGGTCCTGTCCCCTGCTCACTGAATTAGAAACTGGTAGAAAACCCCAGTTCCACAGTCTTAAGATGTCACCAATGGGATTCTTAAGCTCTGTGCAGTTTGAGAAGTTCTGGGGTATGTGTGTGTGTGTGTGTGTGTGTGTGTGTGTTGTGTGTGTGTGTGTGTAAAGGGCCTGAAAGACTGTTTTGTAGAGTATGTCATGGTCTGCCTCTTCACTCCACAGAATGCCACTTTAAATCATGACTTGAAAAATCTGGTCTCTCTATGCATGTAATATGTAGTTCAGGTGAGTTGTAGATATGTATGGATCAGAGGGCAATTGGTTGGTGTCATTCCTCAGGCACCATCCCCTTTTCTTTCAAACATAGTCTCAGAATTTACTGATTAGACTAAGCTGGCTGGCCCCTGGGCCCTACCAATCCACTCATCTCTGCCTCCCTGGTGCTAGAATTACAAGCAAGTGCTCTCAAAAATACAGACTCTAGGATCAAACTCCGGGACTCCTGGCTGTAAGAAAATCACCTTACAGACTGCACTACCTCCCCAGCTCTAGGAACATGTTTTTAAACAATAAGCTGGCATCTGTAGTTGCAGATGAGCTATACATGTGTTCGTATATGGATGTATGTGCATGTGTATGTGCTATGTTTTGTCAGTCATCAACACTTCTTTTGCAATGAAAATATGTAGCACAATTTCTGGGTTGTGAGAAAGACTGGGATTATCTTTGATTTTGCTCTGTCACTCTGGAGTTTCTTCCTGGTTCTTGTGTTTTCTGTGTAGGAACTCAATTTATTGGCTTTTGCTTCATCAGCACAAAGGGAATATCTTCCTAACAGTGAAAAAATATCTTTAGGGGCTGCTGTCCATTTGCTGATCTTTCTTATTCTGTTCTGAAATGATTTCCTTAGTTTATTTATGTATTTTTTCACATATACTATATCTTTCTCCAGGCTTCCAGATGTCATCCTTTAAAAATTCCTTTTTGGGCCATGGGTAGTAGTAGGTCATTAGTAGTTCATGAAACCAATCTAGTGAATCAGTTAAAATCAAAGTGTAGGCATGATTTCAAAGACTGTTTCAATTTTATATAAGTATCTATGTGTGTATATCTTTATGGGTATGTCAAGTATACATGTAAAGTGAACCATCTCTCTACAGGATATAGTCTATGGCTTCTTCATCTTCTGAGGGACCCCATGGCAATGTAACCACAGAACAGTCCCCGCACTGTTTGCACTTCTCTTTTTGGTTGCGGTGGCTGCCCTGGCCTGACTGCCTGCATTCCCCAGTTGACAAATACCGGGCAGTCTAGCATCATAGCCAGTACTCACCACCATGTATTTTTGGTCTGACCTATTTCCACAGCTTTTCCTCATCTATGAGTTACTGTGGACACACTGGGAGGTATTGTTTGCCTTCCTTCCATGGTTTTGGGTGACAAAGAATCACCCCTGGGATGGTTTCACTGGGAAGCCACCCTTTAAGAAATAGTAAGGCTCTTTTTCAATGTTCCCTTTTAAAATTTGTCCCCTTTGAACTTAACTGGTTGGCAGGAATTAAAGCCACACCTCTGCACAAATATAAGAGGTTCTGTAATAGTTGAAGAACAGTCTGATAGCACTTAAGAAACTTTCCGTGTCATTTCTGCTCCATGTGGGTGATGGCTGCTGAGATTGGAGTGGGGACAAGAGACCCAGAGAACAGATACTCAGTCTTGGGCTATCTGAAAGATCACTGTAACTTTAATGAAGAGATTGGTGTTGTACAGAAGGAAGACATCTTGGGTTGTAGGGTTATGGCCATCGTTAAGGGTCACGGACAGTCATTGCCATTGTATAAAAGAGTTTCACTACAGTGAAGACTTCTGAAAAACATGAAGTGAGAAAAATGAAGAGCTGGGCTAAGTGAAGTGATTGTAAACCTTATTATGTATATAAAATACAATTGTCTCTTGCTAACAAGGTAGTCCAAGGGCAGTGTTCTCAGTTAGATGCACCCAGTCATTCAGGAATATAATTCAACTGATGGCTGCTTTGTTATTTTCATTTAGCAAATGTTTTTCAAGCTGCCTCTAGGCAATGCAATTAAGGATGGGATACACACATGAAATGGTTTGTGGGCCTGGCTCAGAAGTGCGATGAACTACCTTTGCCTGGTTCTTTAGGATATGAACTAACTATATGGCTGAAACCAACTGCAGAAGTATCAAGTATCACTTCCTTGGGTAGCCAAATATGCCTGTGGAAGACTCTGAGAGCCATTTTGTAGTCTCTTCATAGGAATTAACAGTCACCAGGTGCCTGTTGTGTACCAGAAGTTCTACTATGTGTTTCACGAGCACTTCTGCTTCATCCTCAGACACTGATTAATTGGTGAAGTAGATGTACAGCCTTACTTTGATGAAGAGGCAATTGAGGGTCAGAGATGTGACAATGAAACATACCACGGTCCTTTTCCTTAATGTATCAATAATTAACTAAACATTTGCTATGCTTAAGGTGTTTCCCAGTTTGTCAGAAAACATTGTCTTATGGAGACATACAGAATTGTACCTCCGAATGCCCATACCCCAACAACTGACTGGTTAGATGGGCCAAATGCACTTACAGAGAAGCCTTTGATAGGAGCGAACTATTCTATGTGGTATTGGAAGTGGAAGCCAATGAGACTCCATGCATAGGAATCCTACATGCCATGGCTGATTCTAAGATGTCAGGGGTACTGCAGCAGGCAGAGGCCTTCAAAAGCTCAGAGAAACCCCAGCTGACTCTCCACTGACAGTCAAAATGGAAATGACATCTTGTTCCATAAAGGAATTCAGCTAGTCAGCACAATGAACTTGAAGCAGATTCCCCTATCTTGAGGTTTCAGAATGGAATACAGCTCCCTCTAATGCCTCAAACTCTGTCTTGAAAAGATCTCAAGTAGAGAAAACCTGACTATTCTGTCCTTGAGCTTTCATTCATAGAAACAGGAAGCTAGTCAAAGGGTGTTGCTTAAAGCCACTAGATTTGTGCTTGTTTGTTTTAGTATCTACAGAAAACTAATAAATTTCTCTGGCTTTGAGGGTCAACTTTCTTAGTTGATGTATTCACAGAGAAATTCCATGTGGAGCTAGACTTTGAACCTGGCTCTTTTGGTTTCATGTTTCTTTCTAAGAGACATTGAAATGTCTCATTAAGCATATACAATATTAGGAAGATATAATGAGTATTCATTGATATGAGTAGTAATATTCAGTCCCTAAATATTTATTCTATTATCTTTGCTCATTTTGCCTAAATGATGAGGAAGGTATTGAAAGGCAAATTAAAGTAGTTTAGTTTACGTTGATTTTCCAGTCTAAGAGAAACAAATGTGTGAAATTATGTTGTCAATTTTGCCATTTTAAGAAATTAAACAAACCCATTTTACTAGCATAAATAACTAAGAAAATCGTTTTAGTTCTCTGACTTGAGACAACAACAAATTAAGGTGATACAGGGTAATATCTGTCTGGGTGTTCTAAAGTACCGGCTTGCTCCTTGGCTCTGATGAGTGGATATATTACTTCTGCCTGTTCAGGGATTATCAGATCACACAACTAGGTATGAGAGACAGAAAAATTAATCCAAGAAAGAAACCCAATGATCATTTTCAGTTTCATAAGGATAAGTCAACACTAAGCCCAGAATTTGCACATGTAGGTCTGATGTCTCTGGGGCCTTTTGTGTTGAGGTTTCTTTAAAAGTAACACACCAGCCAGAGCTGCCTGCTCTGTGTGCAGACTCCTGTAGGTGTTGTTGTTCCACAAAGAGTTAGAAATGGAGGATGCTGTCCTCCCATTACCCATTGGGACTATTTTCAAGTCATCATGTAAATCTCTGCCCTCCATAACTGAAATTGAATATTGAATAATTGAAGTTTCTCAGTGAACAGAACAAACACAAATTTTACTGATCAATAAAGCAACTCTCTTTACTTTTACCACAGTATTAATGGCAGGAAAAGACAGCTTACATGCAATCCATGCCCATTTAAAGACACAAAATGTTCTATTTCTCCCGTCATACACCTCTCCTTGGTGTTCTGCTTGTTTCTCATCCCAATAGGAATACTACGACAAAGGCGATTACATCATCAGAGAAGGAGAAGAAGGAAGCACCTTTTTCATTTTGGCAAAAGGAAAGGTAAGTGCTAAGTAAAGCTTCCTTACCCCATGAAGACTTTAGCTGTGATCAGTGTAACAGTGTCCTGCATTGCCATGGAAGAAGATGCCTGGCTGAAAGAGTGATAAAGTATCTCTGACAGTCTCTGGGGTTCTCTATGAAGATGACTGGGTTTGGGGATGAGGGCACAGAACACATCTGATGGACCATAGCAGACATAGAACCTTGTCAGTAACTGCACACAGGTTCCTTTGCCTTTTGTGGAAGTCTTTCTGTGTGTGATGTCTGTAATGGCTGATTTATTTCTAAAGACCCTTTTAAGGAATGAGTATATGATTTCTATCAGCTCAATGGTTCAAGAACAGGGCTGGAATAATGTTTCTTTAATTAATTTTACATACCAACCACAGTTCTGCCTCCCTTTCCTCCTCTCCTCCGCCTCTTCCAACCCCCCCCCAACCATTTCTCAGAAAGGGTAAGGTTTCTCATGGTGAGTCAACAAAGCCTGGCATATTAAGTTGAGAGCTGGCTTTTTGGAGCCCATTCCATATGGTGGGATGTCTTGCTCAGTCTTGATATGGAATAATGTTTTGATATAACAGGTATGACCAGCAGAAGAATGAATTTAGCAAATAAAATTCCATTCTTTGAAAGAATTCTGGCTAATAAAGAAATTGCATTTGTATCATCATTTGAAAATATTAACTCATTGTGACATTCATAAATATCAATAAAAAACTCTAGCCATTGTGAACCAGCACCCATTAACATATTTAGCTATAATAATTCTAGCTGAAATAGGTAATATTGTAAGTTTCAGTTTCTATGCTGTATCCTTCTAACCTGTGCTTCACTTTGAAATGGTCACCAAGTAAGTCCTTTCGCAGACACCATTATGAATTGTTTTGGAGGTGCATGAGATGTAGTCTACCTATGGAGAGACTTCAAACTGATACTCAAATTATTCTTGACTTTTTGAAGCAACAGAGGTAGGTCTCCATGGGACTCATATTACCTGCTTTGAGGATCTCTCAAAAGGAAACTCTGGATTTACATTTTAAAAACTGACATTGGAGCCAGATGTGGTAGTGCACCCCTTTAATTCCAGCACTTAGGAGACAGAAGCAGATCTCTAGTTTGGGGCCAGCCTGGTCTAAAGAGCAAGTTCCAGGACAGCCAAGGACACTCCAGGAAACCATCAAAAACAAAACAAAACAACAACAACAAAAAAAAAAAAACCCTGACCTTTGGGAGGTGATTTGATGGAGAATTCTCCTGTTCCAGAGGGTTGTCTAATACCTGCCTTAACATGAGCAAAAGTGTAGTGGATTACAAGAGCAGTGTGGTGCAGCAGTGTATTACAGTAACAGTGTAAGGAGTGTAACAGTGTGAGCACTAACAGGGTAAGGCTGTAAGGGTGTGACTACTGTAATGGTATAATGACTCTAATGGTGTGATGACTGTAACAGTGTGATGATTGTGCAGTGTAAGGACTGTAGTGGTGTAGTGAATATAACAATAAAATGACTAACAGTGTAAGGACTATAACCATGTAGTGACTGTACCAGTTTAAGGACTGTAACTGTAATGGTGTAAGGACTGTAACAGTGTAATAATTATAATGATGAATGAATGTAACAGTGTGATGACTGTAACAGTGGAAGGACTGTAACTGTAATGGTGTAAGGACTGTAGAGGTATAAGGACTCTAACAGTGTAATGACTATAATGATGCAATGAATGTAACAGTGTAATGACTATAATTGTGTAAGGACTCTGTAGTAGTGTGATGGCTGTAACAGTGTGATGGCTGTAACAGTGTGATGGCTGTAACAGTGTGACGACTGTAGCAGTGGAAGGACTGTAACTGTAACGGTGTAAGGACTGTAGAGGTATAAGGACTGTAACAGTGTAATGACTATAATTGTGTAAGGACTCTGTAGTAGTGTGATGGCTGTAACAGTGTGATGGCTGTAACAGGGTAAGGACTGTAACTGTAATGGTGTAAGGACTGTAGAGGTATAAGGACTGTAACAGTGTAATAATTATAATGATGAATGAATGTAACAGTGTGATGACTGGAACAGTGGAAGGACTGTAACTGTAACGGTGTAAGGACTATAGAGGTATAAGGACTCTAACAGTGTAATGACTATAATGGTTATGCAGCCTCCTTTTCTCCCTCCTTCAGATGGGTGTGCTGAGTTAGAAGGGTGTGTGTTCAGATCCCTCGTTTACTCTGATCTCTCTTTTGAATTTCTTCACTTTGTTTAGGTGAAAGTCACACAGAGCACAGAAGACCACGAGCAGCCACAGTTGATCAAAATCCTGCAGAAAGGGGAGTACTTTGGAGAAAAAGCTCTGATCAGGTGAGTCCATGGATCGCACGGTGCTCAGAAAACAGGCTTGGACTGTTTTCTATCTCAAGACTACTCATGAGCCAAACACTAATTTAGCCCAGGAAATAATGGGAAAGTCTTCTGTCAGTAAAAACAAGATTGGATTTTAGCTTAAAATGTTAGCAAAAGAACATAGCATGAAGAAATTATTAAATTGGGGCAAGGTTTTATGTTGCTGTAGTTTGCAACATTATCCTACTCAAAATTTTTCTTTGTAATTAAAATGTGAAGAGTGCTGGCAAGATGTGTCAGTAGGTGGAGGCACCTGGAACCAAATCCAATAACCTGAGTTTGATCCCCAGGACTCACATGGTAGAGGGAGAGAATAGACTCCCCCAGATTGTCCTCTGGCCTCCACATGTGCATCAGGACATGCGAACACACACACACACATACATACACACACACACACACACACACACCATACATAAACAGAATAAATAAATAACTGTAATAAAATTTAGAAATCACACAACTTTTCATACTCCGTGTATCTTTAAAACACGTCAAAAATAATCTATTTTTAAGAAATTTTTGTTGGGCAGTGGTGGCATACGCCTTTCATCCCAGCTCTCGGGAGGCAGAGACAGACAGGCAGATCTCTATGAGTTCGAGGCCAGCCTGATCTACAAAGTACACAGAGAAACCTTGTCTCAGAAAACAAACAAAAAAATTGTGAGCTCAATTTACAAGTTTTAGGAACGGCTCAAAATAATGCATTTGAAATTTCTATGTGACCCTTCTATCTTTTGATGTGTAAGTTGGTTTAATATTGACTTGAGTCATAGAAATATAATTTTAAAAGCTGATAAGTGGCTTAAGGAATACTTTGTACTTCCTTAAACAAACAAACAAACAAACAAACCCCATATCCAAAGAAATACATTTTCCTAAATAGAAATAGTTTCATAAAACAGCAAATTTAGTTCAGAAAGAGATACATTTTTGGAGTTACATATGTTTTCAAGTGAATAATTTGGAGTTATTTAGGAAATCACTTGGATTTTATATTACTATCAAATGGTTTTATGTCAAGTTTATGTTTGAAGAAAACAGTTCATGAAGAAAAAGCTATTTCTGCTGGGCAGTGGTGGCGAATGCCTTTAATCTCAGCACTTTGGAGGCAGAGGCAGGTGGATCTCTATGAGTTCCAGAACAGCCTGGTCTACAAAACTATACAGAGAAATCTTGTCTCGAAAAACCAAAACCAAAAAAATAAAAAAAGAAAGAAAGAAAGAAAAAGAGGGGAAAGAAAAAGCTATTTTATCATTTTCTTAACTTACGTATGAAGCTCCTGTATGACAGGCTACATAATTACAGCACAAAGAGAAAGTGCTCCAAAATTACCCAGACATATTAGATTATCTAAAATTCATCATCTTTTATTTTCAAAGAATGCACAAGTACTAAAACATAATACATTGGGCTCTAGCTATTATGTAAGAAATTTCAAAGTAGAATTTAAAGACAAGCTGAGTTTTTCTTTTTTATTGCCTAGCTGGTAATGAACTCACTTTGATAATGATGAAATTATCTTTTTAACACTATTATAATTATCCAAGGCTTCAACGTATTTGTTCTTAATATTTCCAGGTTATTTTCTACTCACTTTCAAGCAAAACAGACAAACCTTGAAGATTCACAGGACTCTATAATACTGTGTAGATATTAAGCAGCTCTTGAGAGCTGCAATCTGGTTTTGCTGGACCTGAAGTAATCTGTGTTGTCTGTTGCAGTTAGCCAAGTATAATTTTTTTCCTAAAGGAAATATGAAAATTTATGTCTAACATAGACAATCAGCTCCCCAAAGCATCTGAACGCACAAAGCTAAAACGAATTGGAAGGGACTGTTGATACAAATGTTTCTATATTTTTTTGCACATTTTTATGATTCTAATTTTTAGGGCTGCTGACTGTAGCTCAGTCTTACTTCTTTTACATGTTTTCAAAATAACATTAAATAGTCTCAGGGGTTCTTTCAGAATTTTATTTATGAAGATAAATCCATGGCACTTAATGCACAGTTACTCTGAAAGCACACGTGGCAAACTGAGGTTGTTATGGGGTGTGCAGAAAATGGTCTTCATGAAAATCGTAAGGTGGACATGTAAGGTGAAAACCTTAACTATTCCTTTGCTCTGAACTTACAACCCAAGGTCGTGTCCGTGTCTATGTCTATGTTTGGCTTTCTCCCCAATTTTTGCCTTTGCTCATACCTCCATACCTCCACCCCCACATCTGCCCACACCTTCACCCCCACTGATGGCTCTGTTTTTTATGTTCTGGATCTCTTGCATGTGTAAACTGATCCAAAGCTCTCCCACCTCTGACTAAAAGACCCCAAGGTTTGGTTATTTTCACTGACACCCCTCACAGGAATCCTATAAGCTAAGGACAGACTGTAAACTGCATAAGATGGTCTTTGGACATTATTTAGAAAGAAAGGGGGTTTCTAGGGCAGGCAAGAGATGGACCCTCCTAGCACTAAGGAAATGTGAAGGAACCTACATGATCACTATTGCTGATGAAATTGTCCAGAGCTGTCATCGTGATGACTGCATTTTGTTGGTACTCCTGGATTACTCTAAGTGAATCTCTGAGTCCTGGATGCTATATGTATGCATCCTTGTTTAGTGTCTCATGTATAACTACTAGAGAGAAAAAACTAACGTGTAAGTCAAGGGCTCTGAGGAAATGCCTGATGCTTCACCCATCTCTATTGACAATTACACAGCCTTCAACTCAAGCATAATGATTCATTGTATCTCAGACATCCATAGTAAGAGTATCTACTCCTTTATGTATAAGGAAGTTTACAATGATATGCTATGATTCATCATCAACTGTAACACAGATACTAATTTCAGAGATTTTACTGAGAAAAAATATCCAATTTACATGACCATGAAAGTGTTTCAATAGTCAGTTAATTCATTGATATGGCCCTGTAAACACATGCCTGGATTCCATTTAAACTGATTTCCTGTATTATAGAGTGAAGCCTTTTCCTTGCCAGCCACTTGGTTTTTCCCTACCAGTCGCCTGGGCTCTGCCGCGTTGTAGTCCCCAAATAACACACAAGACGCTGTATTAATTATGAAGCTGTTGGCCTTGCTTGTTTCTTACTGGCTAGCTCTGACTTAAGTATTTATCCCATAATTGTTAATCTAAGTATTTCTCTTACCAGAGAAAAGTTTCCGGGCTTCTTACCCCTATGGCAGTTACGTCTTGACTCCCTATGTTTGTCCTTCCCAGAGTCCTCTTTGACTCCTAGTCCCACCTATCTTGCTTCCCTATTGGCCAACAGTGCTTTATTGACATATACACAGGACTTCCCTCATCACTGTATGATACTCACTTGGTCATTTCCCAGCACATTTCTCTGGTCATTTGGTTTCTGCACTGGCTCCTTGTTTATTAGTAATTTTCCTTTGATGGGAGGGAACTATTCTATTCTGGCTGTGACAAAACACACAATGAGATTCCACATGGAAGTTGGTGATTCTTCTGTGCTCCAAGCACAGTTCCCTCCCCTGAATTCTTTGTGCACATAACCTTAATTGGGACACATTTCAAGTCCATTTCTAAAGGATTAAATACAAAGTAGGACATAATTTAAAGACACTGTAGTCTTTGGATGGCTTAGGTGTGGGTATGAATTCACATAAAGTCCTGGGTTCCCTAACAAAACAGATTTCTAGTTTCTAATTGTGGTGAAAGATGACTTCTCTCTTTCTTCTACAGTGATGACGTCAGATCAGCTAATATAATTGCTGAAGAAAATGATGTTGCGTGCCTCGTGATAGACAGAGAGTGAGTATCCTGGTGTTGGAGAACGCAGGCACCTGCTACTTGGAAGACTTGGCTTCTATGACTCAGATCTCTCTCTGTTCATCACCACTTGGAAATGCTGGTCATGCTCAGCTGCAAGTGCATCCTATTAAAATTCATGAGCAGGATCTGGGCCTCCTGATCAGACTCTGTCTCCACTGTGGCAGATGCAGGCAGGCTAAATATTTTGTGTGCAAAAGTTGATAGTAATTTTCAGTGATCGGCTGCTTCAAATTCTGTGTCTTTCAGGGAAATCAGTTTGTTAGTGCTTCTGTGGGTTTATTTATGTGTTTGTGGTTATGCTATGAGTGTGAGTATCCAAGGAGACCATAAGAGAGCTCCAGACCCCTGGAGCTGGGGTTAGGGGATGTTGTGATCCACTGGACATAGGTTCTGGGCACCCAATATGGGTCCTCTTCAAGAGCAGCAAGTGCTGCTAACTGTTGAGCCATATTCCCAGCCCAGAATCTTCCTGTGAAGATGTTAACTGGTTATCATTCTAGAAGGCATGACCATCTGTAGTAATTTTTAATGATATGCATCAATATTGATATCATTCTTACGATACTTTAAAAAATAAGACTCACTTTGTTTTCCCTCATTATTTCAAAGCCCATTTTAACCTGGGTCCTTCAACCCTTCATTAATCAGTTAAATATTCACTGGTTGTGTAATCAGTCTAAGGAATACGATTCACGTAAACCAAAACTGAGACATTGCCTATGTGAAGTGATGGTGCCACCAAAGAAACAAGACACGCTCCTATGAAATATTAACAAAATCAGTAAAATGCAGGATAGTATAACAGTGGAATATAGTCAGTGGATGATTGTAGTATTGACTGAATCATAGATGTGAAACATTGGAAAGAATATTAGAATACTGCAAAAAGAATTTTTGTCATGGAAATTTTCAAACACTGAAAAATAGAACAACATCGTAAACTTCACAATGCATGTTCATTAGTCATCAATGCATTTCTAATCTCCAACCCGCTCCATGGACCCATGCCATATTTATAGTACTTTCATGGAAATTTAAAATACACAATTATTTTGTCTATAGATTTCTATAATTTCTCCAAAAGCCAAGTACAATGTGTAAACCACACAATCCTAATGTTAGCATATCTAAAAATTAACATATCTAGAAGGTAATTTTAATATCCCTCCAAGCTATTCTAATTCTTTCCCACAGATAAAACAAGTGAACCCAGGTGGTTTAAATATCTCCTCCCAGCAATGGCATCTGTGAAGGGACAGGGCCTACTGCCCAGGTTTCCCGACTCATTCTGCCAACCCTGCCACCAGGCTCCCACAGCACATGTTCAGAAAGAAGCAACCGTGGTTCTGTGAGGTGGAAAAAGGCTTCTTTTTATTTCTAATTGATGGAATGTTCCTAAAATTGGGCTTTTCTAAGCAAGGATAAACTGTAGAAGTCACTCTAGGGGAAGTAAAACTGCAAGGGCCCAGGGCTGAGGAAATGCAAAATGTGTTTAGAAAAAGGCATCCTTGGTGATGGCTGTTGGATGGAAAACATAGTAGTTCAATAGAGTCCCATGAGTAAATCTTATTTTTTGTGAGTTTCTTAAAAATATATGTGTGTTCTGAGTAACAGCTGTGGTATAATTGTTCCAGAAGCCAGGAGAAAATATATGAGAAGAGAAGAATGGGCTTCACCCATAATCGCATAGATCAGATAACGTCACTCAGAATCCATGAAAAAAATACAATAATTTTATGTACTTTACAATGTATAGGTTTATAATTTCAGAATTTTAATTTACATGCATATTGGGTTGAGAATATCTATCTGCCACAATGAAAGATGAAACATTATATGAATTGGGGTGAGAAAAATGTCCTATCAGGTTCAAGTAGGTTGGCCTATGACCTAGATTTCTGGGACCACTGGGCTATGTATCTGTGACCAACATCTCATTTCACTCTGGAAATTATTCCAGTATTAATTATAAATGAAATGATGACTGCAATTATAACTTATAGAACAGCTTAAGATCCTACAGCAATTCATGACACTGTATGATTAAATTGATACTTACAGTTTATTTTATTTAGCACCTGTCCTATCAACCTACTATTAGCCTCAGGGACACATAAACATATCATTTGTACATTGTGACTGCAGAGCCAGCATCTGGCATAGTCCTTGGCAAATGAGAAACACTCACCAGATGGTAGCTTGACAAAGGTTACTGTACTTACACTAAAATAGAGTGACAGAAAAATCTATAGATTCTTATTTCTTCCTCCCTATTTCATAATCTTAAACAAACTCTTTTGATTATAGTGCAGGAAGAGCATAGTTGTTATGTTTCTTACTTTGAAATTTTGAGGAAACATGTGAAATGACTATTAGGTAATTAATAAAGGAGGGAGGGAAGTAGAGAGAGAGTCATGTGTCTGGGGCTTGCTAGCCAGATACCCTAGTCTAATTGGCAGGCTCCAAGCCCATGTGAGACCTTGCCCTAAGAAATGGTGGATGGACATCTCCTGAGTAAAAACACTCAAGGCAATGGCCACCACACACACATGTATATTCCCCTGTGTAGACATAGAAACAGAGAAACGGGAGCAAAGAGTGTTAAACTGCCTTGATAACTTCACAACCGAGCATTCATTTTATTTTATTTAGAACATTCAACCAAACTGTTGGGACCTTTGAAGAACTCCAAAAATACCTTGAGGGGTATGTGGCCAACCTGACCCGTGATGATGAAAAGAGACATGCAAAGTAAGTGAGCTGGTTTTCTCTGTCAACAGCAACAACTATAGGTTGTGATCCCCTGAAGAGTGGCTTTCAGTGAGCCCTGGCTAGAGCATTCTAGGGACACCAGTTCAACTCAAGAGTGGAGAGTTTTTAAGGCTATAAGTAAAAACATTGAGTGTTGTGTATGAATTTGAGGGACAATTTTCCTGGTAAAGGGAATACTGTTGAGTACTGACTTCCTTCAAAAGTACATGGTTACAGATGAAGAGAAGCTTGAAGTTTTTGAAAATTTCCAAGAATGTGTTTGTGAGTAGGAGGTGGTTGAGTAGATCACTCCAAATCTAGTAATTTAACAGAGAACTTTTGTTAAATTACAATTACTTGAAAAAACATGTAAATTTTATTGGTAGTATTTCTGTGCTGAGACTGGTGAATATTCTCCACTCTGCTAAACCCAGACCGTAAGACCTCACAAGCGAAAGCTGAAGTTTATGTTCATGAAACGGGCTTCTAGAGAGTTACACTATAAATTTCTAGAAAGACTAAATTTTGAGTTAGTGTCCAATCAATATTTTTCTTCAATATATCCATTCATAATTTTTTGTACCTGTGGCTTCTTATAGTAGTAGTTTATCCATATGTAAGTAAGTTTTAATTCAAAGACAAAATATGTGTTTTATAAACAGCAATACTTAGATGTAAAGTGTATGCTCATATTTCATAAAGCAGTTATTCTGCATGAGAAATGAATAGCCTTGTTGACAAGCAGCATCAATTCTTAGTGTGGCCTTCCATGAATGACAAAGAAAGTGACTGGTTTCATTCTCCTCCACTGCCTCCCTTTCTGGGTTATTTGTTAACAGCTCTTTTGAGATGTGTTTCAAATGCTACAAATTTCCCCCATTTTACTTCCCATTGAATGTGTTTGAATTTTGTCTAGTCCTTATGTGTGATGCATCCTTGATCCCATTGCTTTTCGTCCCAGATGTGGACAAAACATCTCTGTCAAGGTTAGGACAGTCTCCTTGCACTGGCAGACAGTGTTCTGGGCAGAAATGTGCCCTGGGAGAATAGAATTTGTGAATGGCAGGGTGGCGGTATGATTCAGTGTGTGTGTGACATCTCACCTCTCTCTTCAGGCGCTCTATGTCTAACTGGAAGTTATCCAAAGCCCTTTCTCTGGAGATGATTCAACTGAAAGAGAAGGTGGCCAGATTCTCTTCAACCTCCCCATTCCAGAACCTTGAGATTATCGCAACACTGGGCGTTGGTGGGTTCGGACGAGTGGAGCTTGTAAGGGGTTTACGTTTCAAGCATCTGAGTGAAGCATTCTGATTTTTTGTTGTTTTATTTTGTACTCAGCTTATGTTGGAAGAATATATGAGTTATCATTGCTCCGTTAAAGAGTTCTGAACTGAAGGAAGTAAATGTTTCAGTCTGGTTGTGCTTGCAAATAGTAATTAGATGCTCTGCCAGACTTCAGACATTGCATCCTGTGATGAATGTATTTTGATAGTAATTATTGGAGAATTTACCAAGAGAACATTCTGAAAGATTATGAAATGTAAAAGATGTATTTCCTAGCGACAAATTACATGTACGTAGATGTGTGCAATTATAACACATTATCTCTCTAGATTAAAGAAAAGGAGAACATGGCCCCAGAAATACCGTAGATGGAATCCTCAATTTTCTAGTCATATTCCTTAAGCAACCCCACCTGTCTGTCTGTGTTTGTCTCCATTACCCTATTTTTGGGTTGTGTAAAACTTTCCATCAGAGACAAAGGAAAGAAGGATGCTTGAAGAGTGGCCGTCTGTAGCACTCAACAAGACAGCTGGGAGCTGCAGCCTGATTTCAGTTATCTTCCGCATCACCTGTTTGTGCTTAATAATCAGCTCCCAAGACATCGCAGAAGTCCTGCGTCAGATCAAGTGTTCTGAGGAAAGTGCTCACTAGAAATCTGTGCTTTTGCTGGGTGCAGATGGCTCTGAGCCCGTGGCAATTACCAAGCCCTTCTTGACCTAGCCAATTTTTAATAATTCACTGTACAATGACCTCCAGGAGCTATGTTGATGCCTTTGTTTGTTTGTAGGAAGGCTGGGCATGAACAGCTGTGAAATGCTACCACGGGCCCCGCAAGGATAGTTCAAACAAATTCTAGACTTCATGTCTGATGGGTGAAGGGAAAACACTTTCTAACAGAGTGAAAAAATGTTTGCAATGTTCTATGTTCAATGTAGACATTGCTCTGTACTGGTGTTTTCTACCACAAGCACAGCTAATAGATTGAATTAACAATACTAAGATCTTTCCTAGATACTAAATACTGAAGCAGTAATTTCTGCACTTAAATAAAATCTATAGACAACACCAATGGTAAACATGAACAAAATATGGGATGCAGTCATCTCCATTTACTAACCAGTATTGTCTGCTTATGCACTTTTATAACTGTCAGAAAAAGTCTAGTTGGTTCAACCTTGATTTTCTTTTGAGAAGAAGTTGTGACTTTTGCACACAGAGGAGCACCCTTTTAGTGTCCCAGAGCAATTTCTACCATGATGGACATATATCACTAAGCTTCTATTACCCGATGTGCCCTTTGAGCTTTGGAAATATGCCTGATACAATCAAAGAGATAAATTTCTACTTTTAATCATTAAATTTAAATGACCTATGTGATTAGTAGGCTGCTCACAGATACAGAATTTGATATGAGTTTCTTTGAAAATTAGAGGCAAACATCAAGAAATAAGAGACATTGGCAATTCTTATTAATGCTGTCCATGTTGCACAATCAAAACTAAAAATTTCTCTCAGTGAAATTTAACCAGATATTTTTCTTACTTCAGTGCAAAGATTTTAGAAACAAGTTGCATGAAGCATTGTGAAAATGATTGTCAGTGTATAAACTTCTATAGAAATCAGTTCTAGAGGGATAAGCGGTTAAAAGCTTATAGAATCTTTAAATACAAAACACTTTAACTCTCATTACTTAACATGTTGTAGTCCATATTGCAAATGGTTGTAATGCATTAATTATGAGTCTTTCATTTCTCACCTAGGTTAAAGTTAAAAATGAGAATGTCGCTTTTGCGATGAAGTGTATAAGGAAAAAGCACATTGTCGACACTAAGCAGCAGGAACATGTCTACTCAGAGAAGAGGATCCTGGAGGAGCTGTGTTCCCCATTCATCGTGAAGTAAGTGAGCAGTTGGCATTCCAGGAAGCATTACTCTGAATTCTCCTATGAGATCTTGGGCAGGAGTTTCCAATTGCTTTTATTCTAGGGAAACCATGCTAATGTGGTGTGTGTGTGTGTGTGTGTGTGTGTGTGTGTGTGTGTGTGCTGGCACAAGTACACATGCATGCATAGGGGCCTATCATGGAATAGTTGGTACTAATTATTTCATCCAAAGCTGATGTAGAATTAGGGAAGAAGGAAGGCCGGAGCCCACAAGCTGCTGCTCAGTGTGGGTGGATGTTAAACTCCTTCAGGGAGGGGCATTTGGGTACACACAGTTGCCAGAGTGCAAAGTTACAAAGTGCCCATCTCCTGATAGTTATTAGTTTTTTACTCTGTACTTGTTATCAGTGTGGAAGAGATACTGTCTAGACTATCACCCTCTTCCCTTGTGTATCCCGAGCTACTGATATAAGCCAGTTTCAATTTTTCATTTCCTTTTTAATGATTCCTAAGTGCAGTTTCAGTGATGTCTGGTGATGTGCAGCCTACAGGAAATACCAGATGCCTTGAGAAAATCTTCCTACATATCCATACTCTCAGGCTCAGTTTTCATGGTTAAAAAAATAAGACTGATGCCAGGCAATGATGATAGTATTCATTCAATTATGTTTATATTTTTACAGAATTACCTTGTAAAATTAATAGCCACTAATGAACTGTGATGGGCAGCTTAAGGGTTGTATTCGTTTTCACAACACCAGCTCTTTGCAAAGTTCCTGACATACAGGATAGCAGTCAAGGGAGACATTTACTATGCTGTGAGATATACAGATTTAGACAGGGATGGTGGTGAGATGACCATGTTTACATCACTGGTCCTTTATGAGGAAGCAAGTCAGAAATGTACATGTGTATTTTCCAGTAAGTGCTTATCAACAGTAATATATAAATAACGTATAATCAATATATAATCTGATTAATTTATATGTAAAATGAGAAGGTGCAGTTGTATAACTGTTGGGAAAATAGGTGTCCCGCGTGACATTCAGCCCTGGCTATAGCTATGGAGCCTACACTCTCAAACTCTTTTATTTTCTTATTGACCTGGAGCTAGCTATGTGGTCCAGGATAACTCTGAACTCACGGACATCTTCCTGCTCCTGAGAGCTAGGATTATAAATGTTGCCACTATGCTCAACTTCTAGAGGGACCCCTTCCTGGAGTTTCTGTTCTTGTGGGTTATCTGGTAGCTCTCCTGGCTGCTTCCATATGGGTATGGTGTCAGTAGTAAGGGAACCATTACTTCTTGTTTTCCCCCTCCCCCTCCTCTCATTCCTTCCCCATTTCTCTCTCCTCTTATTCTTCTTACTTATTTTTATTCTATTCGTGTGAGTGTTTGCCAGCATGTATGGATGTATACCACGTGCATAAGGGATGGCCATGAAGGCCAAAAAGAGTGATGGGTACCCTGGAGCTGGCAGTGTAAATGACTATGAGCTGCCATGTGGGTGATGGGAACCGAACCTAGGTCTTCTGTGAGAGCAGTAAGTGCTGCAATTGCCGAGCCATCTCTCCATGCCCCCACACACAGGTTCTTCTTGAATTTGAAGTACCAGAAAATGTTTTCACCCAAGTGTTGAATGTGGTACACTGCTCAAGCATATTCCTTGAGGTCTGGGGCTCTCTTACCCCAGCTTTGAGTATGGAGGCCTGTAAAGCACAATAACTCTGTCCTTCTCAGGCATCATTTTTAATGATCTGAACCACTTTACTCCCCATCTACTTTCCAGGGTCACCCAGGGCAGCAGAACTCCTTAGATGTGGACCTTTGTTGACACTAGATCATACAGCATCTAGCCCCCTCACCCAGGCTATTCCCCACCTCTAGGTGTCCTTGCCAAGTCATCCCCCACCAGGATGACTACTTACAGGTCTTTGTCCCTGAGTCTATTTCCAAGACTAGCTAATCAGTCAGAGGACATACAACATGACTATAACAAACTGTTATGTAAGGAATGTATTAAAGTGATACATTCACAGGCCTGTGGCTTTGGGGAGGAAGGAGAGGCCCTATTTGGTAATGGGATAATGAACCACTTTATGAAGAAGATGGCTTTGGTGCTTTCAAGGATCGCAACACTTTGACAGTGAAATGGAGACACAGATGTCCAGTCTGTGCTAAGTACAGGATAAGACCGGAGACCCAAGGCAATGGGAATGATCAAAGAGGGTTTGGGAGAAGCTCTGTGCAGCTGTTGGATATCTGTATGGAAATGGGAGGCATTTTTTTTTCAAATGTTGCTTAAGTAACTTAACCAACTTAAAGAGGTTAGAACCTACATGCCTAATCATATGTTTTTGTCTGTCTCCACAGATTATATCGCACTTTCAAGGACAATAAATATGTATACATGCTTCTGGAGGCCTGCTTAGGTGGGGAGCTGTGGAGCATATTAAGGGACAGGTAATGAAAAGATATCTGTAAGCAACAGCTCTTATCAACTCACGTCTATGCTGGGCTATGAGGATGGTTCTAGGGCATGATTATGGGTGTATTTTGCTAGCTAATGCTACAGAACTATCATAGAGGACTTATAAAGTCTACTACCTTTCTAGTATATGGGCTGAAGGTTTCAGGTGTACAGCATGTATTGTAGAAAGCAGACCCTGTGTGTAACTCAGATTCAAGATCCTAAAATAGACCTTGATGGAGAGTGACTGGGTCCTCCCTCAAACAGAGCAGAGTTGGATGTCCACAGATGTTTGCTGTTGTTAAAGAAATGGTGTTGATATAGTCATAAGCACAGATGGCCACTAAGCAGTTTTTATGTAGAAGGCACAATGGTGTAAGTTCAGATGTTTCATAAATGATATAGAATTTTCTATGTAAAAGGTAATAAAAGTATAAACTTTAGAAACACATGTTTAGAGTTTATCTGAAGAAGATGGATGATGTTAAAATATTCCACTAATATGAAAACTAAGTAATTACAGAGAAGCTGCATATTTGTAAGGAAGTGGTGAATTGGGGGGACACTCTATAATGACAAAGACTGGGAAGGGCAAAGAGGTGAGGAAAGACAGCTGTGGACCAAGAACAGCAGGAAGGCAGAAGACCAAGGCACCAAACGAGGAACGGGAGGGCATACCATGCTAGAGCAAGGGAGTTAGTGACAGGCAAGCCTTTGGACATTGTTCTTTGACACCGTGGCCCTCAACCTTGGCTGCATGACACAACTACATGGGGAGCTTTTGCAAACCAAAAGTGTTGTGTTCTGACACCACTTGTGATTCATTTCATTGCAGTGGGGTCCAGTAAATAAGTTGTTCAAATACTTCTCAGTGCACTTATGACTGAGACCCACTGAGGTAGGCATGTATGTAAATGAATGTTGTGTTAAGAGTGTATGGGATTCGAATGGGAAGAACCATGAAAATGAAGGAGACATTCAGGATTTCCGAAGAATTGTTAACACAGTGCATCTTTGCTTTAGTAGCTAATTCTGCTTAGAAATCTGTATCCTTAGAAAAGAGTGTTTGTGCCGCCTGGTAGGCACTGTGCTTATCAAAAGGGCATCCCTGGTAAGTAGTAGCACACCCATCTTTGAGCCATGACTCTCCAGGCTTTGGAAGCTTGGAAAACTTACCATAGGATACGGAGAGTGAAGGATGCTGAGTTTTCAGGAATCAAACTGAGTTTTCTCTCCAAAATCACACCTTTTGATTATGGAACATGAGGAATCACTTCCACATTTTAAAAATATCAGTGTATAAAATTAGATAGTAACTTTATATATAGTAACTCTAATAAAAGTTCAAGTAGAGCCCAATAGGGAAGTGCTATGGCTGACTTTCTCTTGGGTTATTGGTTTATGCTACATAGACAAGATCCACTGGAACTACTTTTAGTCAAGTGATAAATTATATAAGATTTGGTCAATATTTTCATCGAAATAGTTGCATATCTCTAGGATATGCCACAGGTGTCTAAGTCTTCCTGTGTTGTATGTTCACGTGTGATAACCAGAAAGAATTGCATAAATATAGACTTGTTTTAGTGAAATTGTTGTAGTTTTTATAAAGTGTTCCCATGAATTTCTTTATGATTTGTACATAGACATCAACAAATAAAATATTATTAATGTTGATGATATAAAAAAAACATTGCTATATAGGCTGGGAGATGACTCAGGAGGCAAACTACTACTACACATGAATCAGGACAGGAATTTGAGTCCCCATAACCATGTAAAGCTGAGCATGTAACATGCATCTGTAACCCTAGTGTTCCTCCTGTGAGATTCTGGTGGGTAATTCCTGGAAGCTTGGTGGCTAGCATGATGTATACAGTATCAATAAACAAAACAAAACCCTTAATCCAATAAGCGGTATGTCAAGCATTGACGCCTGATTTCCACAAGTGCACCATGATGCACATGCACCGACACTGACACATGCACATGCACATACCATATAAATGTTATAAAGCAGTATAGATGCCTAGAAAAGCACCAAAGACACATTCAGAGTATTAAGAAGCAATGTCATTGCAGAGGCAGCTTTGATGAACCCACCTCCAAATTCTGTGTCGCCTGTGTGACAGAAGCGTTTGATTATCTGCATCGACTAGGCATTATCTACAGAGACCTGAAGCCAGAAAACTTAATTCTGGATGCCGACGGCTACCTTAAGTTGGTAAGGCAAGTTTTCTTACTCGAAGTATCATGTGGAATATTTCCACAACAAAGTTGTGCTATAATTGCAATCTCTTCTTATTTTGGTGCATTTATGTGTATGGGTGGAGTGCCTGCATGTGTGTGTGTGTGTGTGTGTGTGTGTGTGTGTGTGTGTGTGTGCTCGTGCGCACACTGCCTTCACACCTTGTGCCTGCAGAGCCAGAAGAGGGCATCGAATACGCTGGACGTGCAGTTATAGGTGTGAGCTACCATGTAGGTGCTTGGAGCTGACCCAGATCTTCAGCAATATCAGCCAGTGCTCTTAACCTTTGAGCAGTTTCTCCAGTAGCTGAAGAGTCAAAGCATAAAATGCCTTTAGATTTGTTAGTATTGTTTAATCATTTTAACTGCCTTGTGAAGAATAAAGAAGTTAGTGTGATCTCTGTCTCCAGGTATCCACTTTCTAAGTAGGGAGAGAAGGAAACATGGGACCATTTGTAGCATTTGAGAAATCTTTCTAGTTGTTCTAACAGGCAGCGAATCTATGAGACTATAGACTCAATGAGGATCAGATTTCCTTCATATCTGTGTCTGGAGTCCATTAATTCCCAATAGGAATCCATTGGACATCACACAAAAACATCAAAAGATACCACATAAACTTCTTCCAGTGGGAAACTAGTAGAACTTGATTCTCATCCTGAGGGAAAATCAAGGCACTTTGGACCTCAGGGGGAAATTTACAGGTTGGGAAGCAAGGTGGCTTCCCAAGGTCCATTTGCATACCTCCTTGAAGAGTTATCAGGCTATATCTGAATTTGACACTTACAAAGACATTGTTACCTCAGTGTTAGGATGTAAGAAAATTCCATTATTTACTGGTCAATTACCATATGCAAATGCTTTGTTAAAACTTTCACAGTGACTCTATTCAATAGTGAATAAGATAGATTTAATTGGCATAATCGTGAAATTTAGCCCAAGTGATTACATTTGTTAGGTTTAATTTCTAAGGGATCTTTTCCTATGAAGTAAAATAAGAACCTTTTCATGTGAAGCCTGGCTCATTTCCAAGAAACATTTTGGTCCATTCAAGCTTTATTTTGTCCATGAAAGACAGCTTTCAGAACTGGTGCGGTGTGAACACCAGGCTTCAATCACTTCTCTTACTCACAATTCTCACAATTCCTACATTGATTGTGCCTCCCACAGCCCTTCAGGGAAACACTCTGGAACACTCTAGAAGGAAGAAAATCTCTTGTGAGGGCTGCATACTGTTTATTAAATTTATCTCTTACATTTCATAGCTGTTTTTTCTAAAACCTCAGATAGTATATCTAATATTTATAGGGATAGATGGCAGAGACTCCCATATTTGCCATAATTATCTAGCCTCCTCATTTATTTATCAGCCAACAAAACAAGCATCTAGTGATTTTAGTTGCTTAAAATGTCAATGTTGAATTTTCAATTGCCAATTACATTTAAGACTGAGATATCGTGAAATTACTGTTGCTGCAAAATGTTCAAAAATGCCAGATGAGACATGAGAAAGTGTTAGTGATGTGTAAATGTGTTCATTAGACAACACAGGAGTTTCCGTGGGCCTGTGCAGATGATGCTCAGTGGTGGATGCTGACCGAATACTGAAGGGCTCAAGATGTACAACAGTTGCCGCACATGGGCAAAGCCCCAGGTTAAGTCTTCAGCGCCAACATTGAAGCTGCTGACTGGCATGGACCAGCAACTCTAAATGACCTAGAAGTTTCATTTAGTAGCTGTGTCATTGAGGAATAGGAGACATAACTCAGATCTGGACATTGTGGGAAAGGAAGCTAGAGAACTCCCTATTGTGGCAGAGACCACATAGGTTAAATAAATTTCAGACTTACAAAGATGGTATATGCAAGCAGATATGCTTCTCTCATCGCTAGCTCATGGCAGAGGGATGGAAGAAGCCTCCTCTAAGAATTCTTGGCCACAAGCTGCTCTTACTGGAAAAATTGAAGCAAAAATTGAAATGAAAATGGATCCATGCTGGAACTACGCCCATGTTCCTAAGCATCACTACATATACTTTTTAAAATAATAGGCTGTCAAGTCAGGACACAAAGAACTTCTGGAGGTGAAATTCCAGGAAAGACAAGCTAATGTTAAAAATATATTAATAATAAATGTATGGGAACAAAACATACTAACTACCATGGGCACTCATTGCCAAAAGAATAGAGGCAAAGTAGATGTATAAGTGCCATGGGGCTTTCAAAAAGAGATCTAAGATGTCTGGAGAAATACCTAACAGATGAGGCATCTACTGAGAAAATAAGACTGTAATAATTAAATATCCAATGGACGTTTTAAATTAATGACAGAGTGGCTTGTATTGGTCCATCCTGATGTAGTTAATTTATGTATAAAGCCTGAAGGCACTGGGGAGCAATACAAATAAATCAATATCTAAGCCTTGATAAAGGGCATCCTGCTAGGTGAGACCCACATTTGAAAACTTCTGCATAGGTGTTTACTGAGGACATGCCTTAGTGGATAGGGAGTTAGGATTAAACCTTTCGTTAACATCACACCTAATGACTGGTACTGGACATTAGATGGAGAGCAAGAGGAGATGATCCCATCTTAGAATATTAGCCTTGTAATAGGTTTCAGGAAATGAAATAAACCAAGAAAGGACCCAATCAGAAAATCAAATGAGTCTCTTCTTTTTATTTGAATACATTGTGAAATTTTATTTATTATTTTATTTTTATTATTTCTTTCATCTTACTTAGAGAAGTCTAAAGAATCCATCAAAGAAGTACTTAGAATAGGTGAGTTAGCCACTGAGGGCAAAAAAAAATAAATTAATAAATAAGTATAATTCTCTTTTTCATGGAGTAATGATAAAAACTCATAAATGAAATAAAATAACAACATTGAAATTATAAAATATCATGTTAAAATAGTATCACCATTGTGAATAAATAATGAAATAAATTGTATAAAGATGTATAATAGCTATTCGCTGAAAATCATAGAATACAAATAATTATATGGCACTGTATACTATGCTCATGATTTGTAGAAAGTAATAGCTTATAAAGCAAAATTGTCTAAAGATGTCTATATTTTCCAAGTTGGTTTATAGATTCATTTTCAGTGCATTCAAAATCTGAGCAGACACGTTTTAGAAATGGAGAATGGTTTTCTAATGTTTATATGCATGTTAAAAAGAATTAGTAACTACTTTGTAAAAGAAGAGCAACACACGAAACATTACACTTTCCAGTGTCAAAGCCTTATTACAGAGCTACAGTCATCATAGTGATGTGACATTGGTGTAAGGACAGACTCATGACCTTAAGTTCACAGACAGACATGCACATTAGTGAGAGAATAAGGCTGTCCTTTCCTAAAGACACCAATGGAACACCTGGAGAATAGCCACCTGTGAAAAAATTAAAAACCTGATTCCTACCTCATACTGTATTCAACTGTGGCTGAGATAGGCACAGACTTTTTAGAAAGCAAATAGTATTAATATGAAAAGGGAAAAGGCTTCATTAGACTTATACATGTCATAAATATTATTGGTATAGTCTGCCAAGAAAGCACATAGGCATGATGTAAAACAGGAAAAATATTTATACTTTATTGGTATAACAGTGAGCTTGTGTCTAGAATATACAAAACAGAAAAAAACTCCCACAACTCATCAATAATAAAAAAGAGCAGCCGGGCATTGGTGGCATACGCCTTTAATCCCAGCACTTGGGAGGCAGAGGAGGATCCCTGTGAGTTTGAGGCCAGCCTGGTCTACAGAGCGAGTTTCAGGGCAGCCTCCAAAACAATACAGAGAAACCCTGTCCCAAAAAACCAAAATAATAATAATAATAATAATAATAATAATAATAATAGCAACTACTTTTTAAATAGTCAAAAACCTTGAAAATACATTATTGACGCAGGCATGGGAAGGATGATTTTGTTCTATTCAGTCATCAAGAGAAAATTCAATGTAAAGCCACAAAGAAATGCCATTCCATAGTCACTACAATTGATACATTGACAAAAAATAAAAATTCAAGTGTTGGTGAGGACATTCCTACACATTTCTGGTGTAGTAGTTTAATCTACATCAAATCCAGTGAATTGCACACCAAAGAGCAGTGTGTGTTTTATCACCTGTAAATTATTTGTCTGCTAGAAAACTTATTTGGAATGCTAAATAGAAAATTGTCAACAAAAGAGAAATCAGGAACTTAAAGAAAATTGGCTAATTACAGAGAATGGAAGAGACTTGAAAACTGGAACAAAAAAATAAAAATGGAGAAATTTAGAGAATACAGCAAGAAAAGTGTTTGGTTAGTGTTCAATACAAATATAATATAGAGAGTGGTGCTAAAAGAAGGATTATACAAGCAAACAAACAAACAATAAAGACACCAAACCAAACACTAACGACTGGGTAAAAGGCTGCTGGTGCCAAGCCTGGTGACAGACCTGAGTCTGATCTCCAGGACTCACACCGTGAAATGAGAGAACTGACTCCTGCAAGCTACCCTCTGACATTTACATGCATACCATGATACACATGTGTATAGTTGTACACATACATGTATGCATATACATACATACACACACACACACACACGTGTGCAGGAGCAGAGAGAAATGACAAAGAGACACAGAGAATAAATAAATGTAATTTTTAAATTCTTTTAAAGAAATAATAGGTGAAAAAATTCCACCCACATATTCATACACATATATAACATACACAAATAACTGTATCACACACATGCACATACATGCAAACTGATTATGAGGTAAAGAAACACCAACTAACTATGCTAGGACAAATTGTACTTGTTTGATCTCCTATTTTTTGCATGTCAATCGAAAATGAGTTTAAAATAATAATAATTATTTGTGACCTCAGAGGCTCTGTGTTTGGAAGTGGATTTGTTAGAGTATTAGCTGTTTTCATTTTTGTAGTAACAAGCATCTGACAAAAGCAATGGG